CACCAAAAGTACAATTGCAGGGTATTTTCATTAAGTACATCATTATGTAAGTGTATTTGTAGTACACTTAGCATGAAATAAATGTATTTCAAATACATTAGTGGTTCAACGGATCACAAATCTCATGGTTCAGATCATATTACGTTTTGAGCCACGGATCAGATCATTTTTCGGATCAGCAAGAGAATAAAAAAAAAATATATATATTCTATGTAACTTTGCTTTCCATAAGTACTTCTTCGATACCACATCTAAAACTCTTAGCCTATATTTAAAGTGTACCTGAAGTATACTTGCACTTCAGGTACTTTGCACTTTGTAGTTCCACTTTAGCACAATCAAATATACTTCAGTATATCTTTACTTCAGCACTACTTTGGCACAATTAATGTGAATCAAGTACAAAATTAGTTGTTCCAATTTAGCAGACTTTAAATATACCAGTTTAGTACACCAAAAGTACAATTGCAGGGTATTTTCATTAAGTACATCATTATGTAAGTGTATTTGTAGTACACTTAGCATGAAATAAATGTATTTCAAATACATTAGTGGTTCAACGGATCACAAATCTCATGGTTCAGATCATATTACGTTTTGAGCCACGGATCAGATCATTTTTCGGATCAGCAAGAGAATAAAAAAAAAATATATATATTCTATGTAACTTTGCTTTCCATAAGTACTTCTTCGATACCACATCTAAAACTCTTAGCCTAAGAAAGTTCAAACATTATTAAAGAGACAAGTGAACAGCCAGTAAAAATAAGAACAAATACATAAATTACAAGCATAGTGTCACGCACTGTGGCTGTAGATAAGCGCACGACGCAGGAGTAATCCACCAAACAGTCTTTAATTCAAACAAACTCAGGAGAATAACCAGGAGAAAGGACAACCACAAACACCTAAGCGCAAACTAATACAGGACAAAGGAACTCGAGAGAACACAGGGCTTAAATGAGCAGAGACAAACGAGATAATGAATAAACACAGGTGGAACCGAATGAACTAATCAAGGAACACAGGAAAACAAGGTCAAGGTAGAACAGAAACATAAACGTGACACATAGATAAATACAACAGATCAGTGTTAAAAATAAAATAAGGTCGCTAGTATTCAGGTACAGAAATGTAATGATTAAGTGTAAAATAACACTGCATAGTGTTCAGCATAGTGTTTGATGAGCATAATGACAGCCCCAGGTATTATTAGGCTGCTGCCCCTTTAAGACAAAAATCTCACTGAATTATTACAATTAATGGCAAAATGAATGTTTGGAGATGTAAACTGATATTTCCTCCTGACACACTACAGCAAACGATAGAAATATCTGACTTAAAACCATTTTTAGCCTGTGAAAATACTAGTGTCTTATGTATGTATGTAAAATATTTGAGACCTTCTTAAGATTTTTTCAAGAATTGAACTTGGGAACATTCTTAAAAGGGTCATATGATGCTGCTAAAAAGAACATTATTTTGTGTATTTGGTGTAATGAAATGTGTTTATGCGGTTTAAGGTTAAAAAAACACATTATTTTCCACATACTGTACATTATTGTTTCTCCTCTATGCCCCGCCTTTCTGAAACGCGTCGATTTTTACAAAGCTCATCGATCTGAAAAAGCGAGGTGTGCTGTGACTGGCCAGCTATCCAGTGCGTTGTGATTGGCCGAAAAGCGTGTCACGGAAATGTTACACCCCTTACCATACTGTGATGCCCTGTCAGAGCGATGATTCAAAAACATGAAAACCCATAATAAATGAGGCATTCGTTGCATCCAGTGGGGACATAATTACAAATTATAATGACTTATACTGTCTTTTTACACGTTGCGTTGCATTGCATCGCGCCGCGTAAACATAAAACCATGTCTGCATTTGTCATCGGAGAAATGACAAACAACAAGCCCTACTCTACACTGCCCAAAAAAACTCGCTTTAAATATCTCTACCAGAATCAGGAAACAGTCCTCCATAAAATGAACTGGACACATCTGAATATTTGGGTTGAAGTGTTCTGGAACAGTGTTGTAAATACAACTTAACCACTGACTTCTAGTCGTGTCCTTTTTTGGAAGGCCAAACAAAGAATTTTCGCTTTCGCAACGAAACACATAGTCTCTGCCTCAGACGTCACGCCCACGGACCGTTGGCTAAACGTCTGATGCATATGGGACACAAAAGTGGAAACACTTCAGGATTCTCGAAGTCGTCATCGGATTGGTTGAATTCTACAGGATTTCCAGGAGACGTGTGTGTCGTATTCTTTAACTATTGTGGCGACATTTCCATGCCCCGAAACGTGATGCTGAATGAAACGAACTGTGATTGGTTGTTTGACATATCGGACAAACAGCCTCATGGGCGGGCCTTGGCCAATGAAAGCTCCCAACTTTAGGGATCTTATCTATTCATGAACAGCTTGTAACACTCCAAAGAGAAAGGAAAACTTGAAATCGCATCATATGACCCCTTTAAGAATGTCATAGACATTTTTTTCTTTTTAATGAAAACCAGAGCTGGGGCTCAGGTTCTTGGAAAAAAAATTTCAATTTCTTTAAAAACTTAATTTTCAATTATTATTTTCAGTTTTGAATGAATGAATGAATAGAAAGAATAGAAAGAGAAAAAAGCAATGGACTTGGTGACCCCACTTTATGTTTGTGTAATCATTCTATACAAAAGTACAAAAATTAGGAAAAAAAAAACAGTATGAAAAGCTACTCTTTATACTAATAAATTCTCATTAAAAGCCAAATCATGGGCAAAACCACAGATGACAACGATAACCAGGGTTTCACAGAATATGGTAACAAAATATTCCCATAATATTACAGATATTTGTCAGTAGAGGGACTTTTGTTACTTCATTTGAGATTCTCAGCTATTTTAACGTTGTTGTGGGCTGGTATTTCTTGTAGAAATCTCTGGCCAGGATGCTTCTATGGGGCAGTAATGGGGTGGAGAAAGACATTCGAGCAGCAGTCATGTGGTACGCCAGAAGCGCCCTGCAGATGGTCGATCCCACCGCCATGTACGACTACGCCATTCTCCTCCTAAAGGTGATCCACAGGTTACATGGAAATCTCTTGAGCCGTATCTTTTCAAGCATTTGCATTGTAAAAAGCACAAAAGTTTGTTTTGTATAAGTATGAACTCCCGTCACAAGATTAGGAAAATAAATGCAAAATGGTGTATCTGTAGATACTTTCAAGCCTACCTGTCATGTCTGAGAAACAACTGCTTGCTTTGTGCTTGAACAGGGCACAGGAGTGAAGAAGAACCAAACACTTGGCCTTGAGCTTCTGGAGAAAGCTGCCGACATGGTGAGTACAAGTATGAGCATGTTTGTGGTTGTGTGTGGAAGCTTTGTGATTTCTATAATGGGCCATATGTGTTTTTCTCAGGGTTCTGTAGAAGCTCTGAATGGCCTCGGATGGTACTACAGAACCATAGTAAAGGACGGAAGAAAGGCCTTTCGATACTTTGAGTTGGCGGCTCAGAATGGCAGTCGTGATGGGCTCTTTAATGTGGGCGTCTACCATTTAAATGGTGACAATCCTGACAAACCAGACAGTAATGAGGTCAGAGGTCACACATTTAAAAGAATAGTTTACCCAAAAATGAAAAAATTGCTGTTAATTTACACACCTTCAGGCCATCCAAGATGTAGGTGACCTTTTTTCTTCAGTAGAACAGAAAATAAGATTTTTAGCTGAAACCGTGGTACTTGGTGATTCATATAATGCAAGTCAGCGGAAAGTTACCGTTTTCGATCATTTAAAAAAGCATATCAAGGAACACAAAATTAATACCCATGGCTCCTGACGATATATTGAGGTCTTATGAAGCAAAACGATCTGTCTGTGCAAGAAACTGAACATTATTTACAACATTATTACCTGTAATCTAGAGGAAATACGATTCTTTGCCGCAAACTGATTCTTCGGTCCGAGTCGAACTGTTTACTCAGTTCAGTGACTGTTGGAGGAACTGGAGCGCTGAATGATTCATTCGTCATAGGATCAGATACCCCACTATTTTGGCTCATTTCGAGTCAGAGTGACTGTCAGGCGCCTAAAAGCAAGTTTTGATTAAGCAACTGATCAATCAATTTGATTGAGTGATTGATTGAGTTTTGATCTGTGCTGCCCAAGCCGCAACCTATTTCAGACTGGTTCAACTAGTTCACTAAAAAGAATTGGTTCAAAAAATGATTAATTTGTGAGCTGGACATCACTCTGGACCATTTGTCTGAGGCTCTGGATTACAGGTAATAATGTTGTAAATAATGTTCAGTTTCTTGCACAGACTGATCGTTTCGCTTCATAAGACCTTAATATATATTCAGGAGCCATGGGTATTAATTTTGTGTTGCCTGATATGCTTTTTTAAATAATCAAATATGGGCAGCCACTGACTTTCATTGTCTGAAACACCAAGGACCCCGGTCTCAGCTAAAAATCTTCTTTACTGTTCTAGAAAAGAAGAAAAAAAGTTATTCTAACTTTCCCTTTAACCTTCAATGGATAGTTAAAAATGGAGAGTTTCATATTTTATGGCATGAGTTTATAGTGTGTTGATTTCAATGATTTTTTCAGACTGCTGCGTTCCACTATTTCTTGGATGCGGCTCAGTTGGGTCACGTGGACGGCGCTGTGCAGTCGGCATTGTTTCTCTCCACTGGATCCATACAAGGAGTGCCGAGAGATCCAGACAAAGCTGTGCTGTATGTCAGTCTCATATATCCTGCTCACCTGAGCACAACTCTCAACAATCCTTGAATGACTTCAGTTAGCACAGCTGCCACCACACATAGACTGAAAAACATTGACAAGTTTGACAGATTTGACAAAATATCTAAATGCAAATGTCAGGGTCATCTGATCAGTATTCAATATGTTTTGTTATTTAATATGTTTCTCTCTTTTGTTGGGTTTCTCCATTTCTTCAGGCTGTTGAAGCGAGTCAGTGAGATGAATGGACACCTGGGCTTCATGGTTAAAGATGCTCTTCAGACTTATCAAAGAGGATCATGGTGAGATATCCATCTGTCCATCCATCCATCCATCTCTTCATCTATTTATCCATCATTTCATACTGTACATCCATACATCAATCCATCCATTCATCCATCCATCCCTGCATACAGTAAATCACCCATCCATCCATCCATCC